CTGGTATATGTGCATTTCTGCTTCCAGAGTTGCTACCTGCTACCTATTTTAATCAATTTTTTTTCTATAATAATTTATTAGCGGGCTAATTAGTCATTTAAAAAGAAATAAGAAAACTATAATTTATTATTTATATTTAAAAATAAATAATATTTTATTAAAATATTTTTTCGATATTTCGACTATCTTCGATAGTCATCTTCAGGTAACATCTCGGTTTCCCTGGGAATGTGTTAATCTAACAGTTAAAATCTGAGAATAAAAATCAAAGACAAAAGTAAATGATGTCAGTTTACCTCATATAATAAAAAGTTGTAACTGTAATTCTCATGAAGAGTGGACACACGGCGACAAGTGAGTAGAATCTTGTTTACTGCAATTTTTTGAAAAATTGTTAGAAATCCAAAAAAAAATGGACGAAGTTTTTGCATCCCGAAAACACGTCATTCCGATCTCAGAGATGGCAGAAATTCATCCAACACCATATTCCCCTGACTTAGTGTCGTGTGATTTATGATTGCTTCTAAAAAATATAAAAAGATTTGAGATGAAAGGTCTTTGGAAATAATGTGGAGATAATTGATTTGAAGTTGCAAACTTGAAAAATCCGAGTTTAAGGACTGTTTTAGATTTTTGAAGGAACTTCAAAAATAGAAATTGTGACAAAAAAGTATGAAAATTATGAAATTGAAATTGTTTTGTCAATTTTTTTTTTGTGTGATCAGCTAAACGAACTTTAGATAATCTCCTAAATGATGTTGAGAATTTTTTTTTTAAATTTTTTTGAATATAAATATTTCATCACTTCAATGATTTCCCTTCAAGATTCAAAATACTATTTAATGTTTGAAAATGAAATGTAATTATTTAACTATAAAATAAATGAACGAAATCAAATTTAAATACCATAAAATATTGCTCTGCTGCATTGGGATTTGAAGCAATGCAGTTTATTGACAATTTCTATATTTTAATGGAATGCATTTCGAATACCGAAATGCATTTTGCGAGCGATTTTCCGCTTTCATTGCGAAAAGCGCGTAGATAGATTAGATTTGCTTGGCATAGAAATTTATAAATTAACGCTGCCAGATTCGATTTCGCAATTCCGTGGCTGCTCACAGGTCACGTTTAAATAAAATAAATTTGAATTGTAGATTTTTAATAAATTTTCCAATGTGATTTATATTTATTTTAATTCGATTTTGCCATCCCAATTTCAGTGAAAAGTTGCCTTCATTCCGTTCAATCGCAGCTTTGAAATGTTTGCAAACTGAAATCAGAATTTTCATAATGTTATCGTATTTTTTTGCTAAACTAATAAATTAAAAAATCACGCATATAATAAAAAGCAATTTTTTAAAATTAAAATTATAATTTTTTTTTTTAAACTGGAATGTAAGAATTTTATTTGATATTTAGAAGGAAGTGGAAGCAAACTAGAAGATAATAAAATTTAAACGGAATAAGAGTAGTACTTACTGTCACATTCTACTGCAATGAGAGATGAAATTATAGTAGCCTCATCATACATCATGAGCATGAAATAAACATTTGATTAAGATTTCCATTAAACATTTATTTTATAAATATTGTTTGGATCTTATCATTAGGTGTGAAATCCAAAATCATTTAAATATTCTTTATAACTCATATTAGTGAATAACTTTTTTTTAAATAAACTGTCTAGAATTTGTAGATTGTCCGCCTAAACTCGCTCTTTTGTATAGCTGCACAATGTAGTCCACAAATCATATAACTTGGTGACCAATTCACATCACTAAAACGTTTTAGCGGATTATTGCTCTAAATACAGCTTTAAACTTGATTGAACTTCATTCAGAACAATAGATAAGCAAGTAGGAGCACAACAATTGGTCAGTTAGACCACTGTCTTCTTCGACATTAAGATACTTCACACGTCCCTACAATCTTCTGCTGATATTATTGTGCAGACTAAAGAAGAACCGCCATTGAGATAATTCAAGCTTTTCCTTATAGGTTTCTTATAGGTACTTACCCTGTAATCTTAATGAAGCAGATTTCAGTGCTTATACCGCTACTTGTTTTAGAGCCGTCAGTGAAAATGGTTAGACCCCCCACTAAAGAAGGAGCTCTCGATACCCATATATCTATCTCTAGATGAAAATCAAACACTAAATTTTCTATCGAAACTAAAAACGAGAAGAATTTAGTTATTTTTAGTTGGAGTAGTACTAAAAAGGCTTAAAAAGAAGCCGTGGTCATAGTCATTAGCCTTCCACTGTCAGGTTGAATTGAGTCTCAGCACTTTATCTCAATAATATATAAAGTGGCTTTAAGTGAAGCATAACGCAATGGATGGTGTGATACAAAGAGCACTTTAATTATTTATATAAACTGTGATGGAGAGTATATTTTGTTTTGAGTGCATTATTATTAAAAACTTTGTATATTAATAACTATTGAAAATGGAGTTTCATTCATTTTTATATTGTGTTTCATGAATTCTAAAGTCACCTTTTCAAGTTGAAACACTCTAAAACCATTTACCCTGTGCAACCATAAAACTATATACAATAAACTTCGACTGTTATGATGTCTTCAGTAAAAAAAGAAAATGTATACATTATACAAAAGATGGAGTGTATTTAATAAAGATGTGTTAAATATCTTTATTCGCGGCTAAGTTGATATATGTCACACATTATATTTTTAGACATACTCGTACTGACAATATACGTACGTGTTTCAATAATATTTTTAATTGAGTCGTATTGATTAGATTAGAGACATATTAGTTATACAGAGGAAATAATGCTGAAAGAAAAAATATTGTACATAGTTTCCACTTATACTTTAAAAATTTTTTTCTAAAACAATACATCATAGAAGAAAAAATTTTGAAAAGTAGACCAAACATAATTTTGCTCTTTCCTTTTCCTTTGCAAATTGAAAAATAGTGTAAAATAAACGACGGTGCTTACACTAGCAAATAATAACAAATATAACAGCATAACAGGATAAAAGAGAAAAAGAGAAAATGAGGAAAAAATGTCGACGATGAAATATAAAACTAATAGTACTAAACTTTATAACAGCAAAGGACTTCGCTGTCCACTGAAAGTAGATGAGTGGGAGAGAATGGCGAGAAAGTCGCCTCCACGAAAAAAGTGGCACAAAATAAATTAAAAGAAATGCCAAATAGGCTTATAGAAATATTTGCTAAAACCATATCAGAGGAGAGCGAGGTAACACACAATGAAGTGAAAATACAAATAAATTTCCATAAATAACAAAGGCTCACTAACCTCAAAGGACAGTTTATAATTCCAGGCTGACACAATATAATACGAGTATAACCCACCTCATGCCGGGTGGAATGTGAAAGAGCAAAACAAATTAATACTCGTACAAGAAAACAACAACAGTAATAATAATGAAATGGGGAAAAATAAATGACAAAGATAAAAATGATTTATTTGCATATTTATGCAATATAATAATTCGGTGAATTTATTACATTGTTTTTAATTCGCTATTTGTGCCGAGATGAAAAACTCATTTAAAAAGCACGTATTTCATTATGTTTTACATATGATTAACCTCAGAGTAGCCTAATTTGTTTGCATGTGCTTTGCGGTCATAGAAATGTGGTATTTCCTTTGCGAACTCATATGAAACGAATCACCAAGTGTGAATTATTAAAATTAAAATGTCATAAGCAAAAAAATTAAAATGATAAATTAATTATAAAATCATATGAAAATTTTTCATAACATATGTCAGTAGGGATGCATGCCTTTCTATCGACTACAAATTAGCAAAGCGAAAGTATGCGTTTTCACATTATTTTTTTATATTATTTTTGAGTTTTATGAAACTATTTTAATAATATTTATATTATAAAAAACAACTGTCAGTCTTGCACAAGACCACTACCAGAATACAAAAGATCTTTAAAATGATCTTTCGCAAGATTTTTGAGTGTGGTGAGGTAAATGATCATTCCCAGAGTTGCCAAGTTAAACAAAAATAAAAACTGTAAACAATAAACGGTTGCGTTTTTTTGAGAATTATCTCATCAGATGTGGGACAGATTGTGTGTGTGACAATTTTGAACAGCTCTCATTTATGCTATCTTTAATATGTTGTACTTATATATATTTTGGATTTATCAAATCTGGATCTGAATAGCTCCCATTTATGCTATCTTTAATATGTTGTACTTATATATATTTTGGATTTATCAAATCTGGATCTGAACAGCTCCCATTTATGCTATCTTTAATATGTTTTACTTAAATGTATTTAATTTTTTAAAGTACATCTTTATTATTTAGTTAAAATATACTTAATGAAGGTCTTCATTAACTTATATAAAATTGTTTATCTGACTTTGAACTAATGTAAAATGATTCGGTTTATGCATCAAATGCGTTTTTGCGCTTCTCCATTCAAATTTAAATGTATATAGGTCCATATAAATCCATATTAATGCATGTTGTATGTTACTATTATATAAAAAAAATTAAATATAATAACACATATACAGTTACTGTCACCACTTTTTTGTTTTATTTATAGATGCTTTGTATGTTTATTGACTTCCCGTTTATATGGTAGAATGAGGTTTTTATATTAACAACTTTAATAGCCACTAATATGTGCGGACGTCATAACGATATTGGCTGACGATCCAAACGATTGATGAAAATCTTAACAAATCAAAAAGTAAAATAAAAAGATATGAAAAAAAATTTAATTTTCATGTGAAAAATCTTGTGAAAAATGCACACCAATCACCAGCAAAGACCTGATCCACTTAAAAGGAGGTGACTTAAAATGCGAGCGAGTACAATAAGATTTTATTGTCATAAAGAGATGTCTTCAAGACCTTCATGTGAAAAGATACTACGGTATATCCATCTTTAAGAAATTCTTACACTAACAGCTTTTTTTAGCTACTTACACATTAAACTGTTTGATTTCATGAATATATCCAATGAAATTAAATATAATTATCGCTGAGTAGAACAATATCTCAAATGTTCCGTTTATTCAAAATAATAGTGTGTATTGTAAATAGACACATTTTAAAATTTAAGATGTTGTGATAAATGAATGCATGTAGTAAATCTTAAGAATTGTTGTTCGTGAAAAACGCCACAGAAAAATAAAGATAGAAATCAGCAGGGAGGTGCATCAGAAGCATATGTCCAGTCCTGATTATCTAATGGACAAACATTTCTATGTGCCAACCAACGTGCTATACAATGCTTGTGAAATATATGTTTACAGTTGCCTTGTATAGTAGCACACTCCTCCTCACTCCGAGCCGCTTGGCATTGAATACAACGCTCTGTATTTTCATTGCGGCATATTGCACAGATATCTAATTCCAATTCTTTTAAGAAAGAAAAAAATTGGAAACATTAATTGAAAATAATTGTCATTTTAAGATCTTACCATAGGACCACCCAGCTACTGGCATCAACTGAAATAATAGATATTGTTTAGCATTAATGAATTAAGAGAGGGTCTAGTATTCACATTTCTTACCTTACGAATTTCAATACGCTTGGTTTGACCTTGGGAAGTACTAGGCTTCTCCTCGGGTTGATCCTCCTCACTTGAATACCGGTCTTTGTCCATTTTAAATCAACAGTTTGTACTTAAAAAAGAAAAATTTTAAAACTGAAGTGAGAAATTTTAAAAACTTTTGCATACTTTTTTGAAAATTATAAAAATGGTGGAAGAACTTCTAAATATCCTGGAACAAATTTTTTAAAACCTGAAAGCAAATATATATATAGTTAAATTTAAATAAATTTAATTTGTTAATTATATTTTTTTAGTTATACAGAAAATAGAAGGTTTATGTCACGCCTCATAAATCTTAATTGATAGAAAAAGATATAAAAATCGATTAATTAGACTATTGCAATATTAAATTTATCGTTTAAAAAAATGTTATCTTATTAAGTAGTCATAATCGATGTGTCTCCAGCTACTAAAAGCCTTCATTCTCATTGCAGTTTACAACAAATCATTGTACTTCGTAGCGTCAGGATTATGTTTTATTTGCAAGAGAACTTAAAGCATACAGGTTTGGTTAATACGAAAATCAGCACGTACTTTCGGAGACAACTATTGCCCTTCGTTATAACCATTGTATATAGCTTGGATCCACTAAGTGTTGTGAATGATTGGTTTTGAAATGAATAATAGAATTCATAGGGCCCTGATTTCTTTTTTATTATGTTATTTTTTTTAATAGAAGAAATATTTATTGTTAGCAGCTCTTTATCTTGCTCTGCTATATCTTATCTCTGAAGTTTTCGATGCTTATAATTCTTTCTATCGCTTAAGTTCATTCTTAAATTTTTATTATAAAAATTATTTAATACAGCATTTTGTAAATTTTAAATTAAAGCAAAATTCATTTTTAATGAATATTAATATATTTTTAAAATAATATTTTTATTTTAAATCTATTTTTCTGGTGCTTTCATTCATAATTAAGTTTTTAATGACAAACAGATTGAAAATGAAGCTATAAAACATAAATAATTAAAGGGAAATAAATCAAATTAAAAATATTTTAATTAATTTTAATGTTGACTTATAACAGTACTATACATAGTATTGTAGAATATCTATATAATTGCATATTGCGCAAATGTGCAAATTATTTCCGGCCTTACTGCGTCAAGGGAAGGGAAGGATACTGTAAGACTTATGTAAACACTTCATATGCTTCGTTTGCTTTTGACTAAAATAATTAAATTCATATTTAATGGTATTTTGAATTTATGAAATAATAAAACAATAAAAATATTTAAATTCAATATAACAACAATTGTGGCAATTAGTAAATCTTATAGTTTACGAAAATACGTAATTAAATTATTTAGTTCAAAGACTTTATCTTTATTTTCTTAAATTTTTATTATTAAGTTTTTAAATGAAATTAAAAAATAAAAATGAACTTAATATTTCACAATTAATTTAATGTTATAATATATGTTATTTGTGGTGCATTAAAGAAAGGATTCTAAATATTTAGTTCCCTTGTATTGCTTCAGTGCTGTAGGGTGTCACATATTTTTTGTCTTTTAACATATTTGGTATCGAAAGAATTTGCCTAAAAAACCAGAAGTCGCACAGAGCCAAATCAGGTGAGTGATGGATAATAATAATGATTTTATTGTTCAAGAATTCAAGTTCCATAATGGATTTAAGAGATGGTGCTGTGTTGATGAACTGCATATAGCCCACCTATTTTCCCCAAAATCTCGTCATAAATTCGATATACTTTGTCTTCAGTATTCTAGTTTCATAGTAGGTGAGTCTCACATACAAAAATTAATAACGCAAAGTTCACTAAATCTATGTAAACTACAATAACCAGAACACTAAAATTATTATATTAATAATTAAACAGTGAATACAGTTTGGACTTTATTTAATATACTGCTAGCGCAGTATTTTTTAATAAAATTTATTTGTTACTGTACAGTTTATTTTTGTTTATTAATTTTAAGACATAAATGTCTAGAAATTTACCTAGATGCTTGCTGTGAAGGCTCAACACGACAGTGTTCTTCACACACGCATCGGAACCTTCCATTAAAACTACGAGGAACTCTGCCGGTACCAGTTGAAGTTATGTATTTGAGCATAACTTCCTCCTTGTTGAATAATGAGTCGTATCTAACACCTCTGCTGATCTTTGGGTCAACAGCACTAGGTTGGAAAATGTAACTCCACATCGAATGATTGTAAATGAATACAATCATTCTACCCGCGTAACTTTGAATTTTAATCACAACCACTACGACACTTCCTTTAGGAAACCAATGTCAATGGCCAAGACAACCGAAGCACTGACCTTCGTGGTAACAGATTTTCACCACCAGTCAGGTGTTGGTATTTAGACAATAAGTAGTCGGTTATTAGAGGCATAAGCCACTAATTATAACGAGCAATTGAAACTTTTAGTCATAGGTACTACCTTTTTAAAAGCCAATAGTAAAAATATGATGACTTCTTTTGAATGAGAAGCTGTAAAGTAAAAGTTGAACTTCTCTATAACGCGAAGTTAAATTTTTGCCAAAAAAAAACTTAGAATTTAAATAATAATATTCAAAAACGTGGGTGTGACTCTTATAGAACTTTCCATCAATACTCGGATATAAAAAACACTTTTTACAAATACAAATCAGAACTTTAAATTGAAGCAAAAATTTATATATTCTCTTATATATAAGAGAGCCGTGAGTGAAATGTGGGTGTGACTCTTATAGAACTTTCCATCAATACTCGGATATAAAAAGCACTTTTTACAAATACAAATCAGAACTTTAAATTGAAGCAAAAATTTATATATTCTCTTACATATAAGAGAGCTACTGCCCTCTTGGCTACCTTAACGACAATTGAATCCGCCATAGTTAATCGCATTGGAAACATTTAAAGATACTTAAATATAGAAATATGTATAGTATATATCAATATGGCTATATGCTGTTGTAAATAAATATATAAAGTGCGATATCAGCACACAAATCGATTTCCATAAAAAATTTATTGTTTAATAAATAAATGTGTAATATTTGCTGAAAATTTCGAGCCATTAAAAATTTCACATTACACTTTTTGCCCTTATGGCTGTATGCATGTAAGTGAACCAATAACGGGAGGAAATCAAATAAAGTATTATCTTTCGAATGGCAAACATTTCAGGCTGCACAGCAGTACTCAGTGTGGTAACTATGCCATTATAAAATAAATAAACCAACATCACATCCATTGAATTTACTCATTAATTCATACATCGTGCAGAGCATGATATTGCTTTGTAGTAAATTTTCAGAAATTGAAATCAAACAGATTACTTTTTTTTTATAAAAAAACACTTCAGCTTCCAGTGAAAATGTGATCATTTCCGTTGGTTATTAAAAACTCAATGACGGATATCAACAGGTTATCAGTTTTATAATTAAAGATTATTATTTTTAAACATTTTCTAGATAAATTAAATCAAATGAGTTTCTTAACCAAAAACTGAAGTAAAGTGACTTAACCTAAAGTAGTGATATACATATGTACATAGGTAATTTATATAAAAACATCGTACTTATAATGAGCAAAATGAAAAAAGAAACTATATGAAACTCAGATACTTTCATTTGACTTGTATTTCTACCAATCATTGGTAGAATCTATATTATGTCTCTGTTCACAATCTGATATCCCGGGATACAAATCAGAAAAGCCTTTTGCCATTCGCATTGTACGGTTATGGCTCCTTACTTTATTGTACTTAGTAGAAGGATGTAGCTGACTGGATATTTAATTATAGATATCTATTATTATTCCGCAATGTATGGTCTGTGGCTAGTTTCTTACATACCATATAAATTGTAAACACTTCCATTTAGGAAAGGTTAGCCGAATTAGCAATCTTCCTAAATATATAACTGCACTAATATCTCAATGAACTTTGCAATCATCCATAAAAATTCAAGTATTGAACCCAATTAGGATAAACCTCGAAATTCTCTTTAGAAAAAAAGAATTGTAATAAAATTTTTGTTGAACATCACCATTTGGACACTATAATGGCATCTGGTTTTATTGCAAAAATCTTGCATAAATTTTGTTAATTGACATTTATAGCCACCGATTATTTCTATCCAGCTTACCGAACTCCTCAATCTATTGGGAACATGTGCGTTTAAGCATTAGCATCATTTTTGATTTAAACAACTAATTCTCCCTTTGTGACAACAAATATAGCTTTTAAAATACCTCACAATTTGCGAAAATAGCTATGTGTAAGTTACTTCCGGTAATATCGAAGGCTTTTACTGTAACTAAGATTTCTATTTCAAGCACATCAAACATAACAGGATAATTGAGAGCTTTTAAAAGTTAACATCTCTTCAAAAAATACTTATATCAACAACACATCCTATTCAAATCAAATCCAAATGTGTGTATTGAAATTATGAAGCTAATATATGACCAAATATAATAATTCGTCCGTCACTTCTATATAGATGTGTAACGTTTAGCAAAACCATAAACACTATTATTCGCCAGCTAGAAATTGTACAAAGCCAGAGAAGATGAGAACTGAGAAGACTTTTCTAGGTACCATGGTACTTTGTAATAATAAAACAACTTTCATAATATATCTGCACTTACCGCAAGTAACTTTCTATGGAAACCGTAACTGAATCTGCCGCTAATTTGTAGATCAATAAAAAGCAAATATGCTATTAGTACGTTTTCTTCCTCTCACTGTTTACTTTTTGTATTTAGGTCTAGAAGTAGGTAGACGTTTGTATTAGCATCCAGTTATAGCTTCTTTAAACATCTGAACAGAATCATTAGACAATATAAGAGTATATTCCAAATTGTCTCCGGATCGCAATTAATGAAACACAAAGTAGCTCTAACGGTTACTAAAGTCTCCACACGCCTTAACTTAGTATTAGTTAATTGACCTGAAAAGCATAAATTCGATAGTATTAAAAGTCATTGTTTGTAACATTCACCTTAAATAATTAATACACCGATGAGTATTAATTTGACAATGTCAAAACTAATAAACCTTGTGCTTACTTGACGGAATGCAAACTAAAGTGCATTCAATAAATGCATGAACAATTTTCTTAAGGATTTTCTTAAAATTTCACAAGTAGCTTTGAGCAAAAACCGAGAATTTTTTATTCGTCGCGGCTTATTTGTACGTCACTTATCTATATTTCATCTATTAATAGGACGTAGTTTTTGCGAATAGATCAAGCCAAAATTCTATACAAAATTGATTTAAATTTCGATACAATCAAAGCTAATTTTTATTTTATTTAATTTGACTGTTTCTATACAAAGCTCACATGATTTTTTTATTCATGGCATTTCATGTCAAAGAATTTCATGTCAAAATACATATTATATATTATTATATTCCATGGTATATTAGATCAACAGACATACATAGAGATCTTAGGATTGACTCAGTGAAAAAATATATCAGAGACAGAGCTCTAAAATTATTCACTAAAGTTGATACGCTAATTAACCGCACCCTAACAATCCTCAAGTCCACTTCTGGACTCTCAGGAAGATATACTGATTTAAGGTCCGTCATCAACTAAAAGACAAATAAATGATATGTTTTTTTTAGCCTAGTGTGGGGCAGAGGTAAAAGTGCATAATAGCACTAACTCAAGAAGAAGAAGAATCAAGAAGACTTCTAACATTAATTTTGTTTTCTTTTTTTAAGATTATTTAATTTTAAACATTTACATTTACTTTAAGTCGCCGTACGAATTGAGTAAAGCGGGATTCTTTTTTAGTCTTCTTAACATGAGAGAAACTTCTTCTTCTTAGCGTAAGTTTGTGGTGTGAAATAGGTAAAAGTGGATTTCACTAGTTTTCTTAGCATGAGAGAAACTTTTTCTACTTATCATAATATAGCATTTACACTGGCCTTAAATGGCTCATTTCAAATGAGTCATTTGAAAGTGTTTACATTCGTTGTAATTCATTTGTTCTCATTTCAAACAGCTGATTTTTCAACTTGTCTGTTGATTTAATTTTTGTGTCAAAAAAATGTTAGATGGATGTTCAAACCTTACAATATAAACTGAAGACTTGTTTTTAGCTTCGATTAATTTATTTTTTGTAAGTAGAAGCTTCAAAAAGAGGTCCAATCATTCGTTTACCTTTTTTTTTTGTAAATATGTCAAAAACCGCTTTCTCAAACTGTCAAAATGCCATGAAAAGCTTTTATTTAGGGTATGTTCAATGTATTCATTTGCATTTTGAACATATTTGGAAATCATTCTAACCTCGTTAGAACTCATTTATACAGAATGAGATCTAATGGCTCTCATTTGCGCTTGAGATTTTGTATGCAAAAATGAGTTATTTGCTTCTCATTTTGGATTTTTGACCAAAATGAACCATTTGAGGCCAGAGTAAATGCCATATAAGTTTTTGGTGTGAAATGGGTAAAGACGGATTTCTCTAGTCTTCTTATCATAAGAAACTTGTAACGTAGTTTGATAACATAGTAGTTATAGTAATAAAGATTAATTTGTGCAGTATGAAATACTAGTAGTTTTCAAATTTTTATGATCTAAAAATAATAATTTTAATAATATTAATATTGTTAACTATATATTCATATGCTATCACGTTTAGATATATTTTACATTTTATTTTGTGTTTTTTTTTTTTAGAACTACTGGAAGACATACAGGTGCAGTGATTTGTATGCTTATTATACCAAGAAAAGCTACTTTATTTCTATTCCAATGAATGCAAATTTAAGATTTTCTAGTGAACAAATTTTATTTAAATCTTAAGAAAAATTTGCAAATAATGCCGTTTCGAATTTTGAGAATAGCTAAATCCCTATTACAGAATACAGAATACAGAGTACAGAGTGCAGAGTATGGAGTACAATGGAGTCAAGGGGATTTTGCTCAGAAGTGCAAGCTTAGTAAACTGAGGCAAAAAGGCAACCATTATACGCTTAGCATATAAATAAGTCGCTTGCAGAGACTTTAAACTTGGTCATCTAAGTTTGAAGGTAAACAATGGCATTGCTCGGAGTGTTCGTTTAAGTAAGGTGATTACAGAAATATGAAATAAAATAAAATACAATAAAATTAAATAAAAAGGACAACGACAACGACAACGAAAACGTCGTAGTGAACAATGCCAGGACAAAATATCCACAGAAGCGATTAAGAAACTTTTTTATAACGTGACAAAGCATAGACAACAAAAGTTAGTCGAGTACACAAGTGCCAGTATGCTCAGCTGCCATGCCACGCCCACTTTCCTCAGTTATCTATTTAGCAAGCGGCCAAAAAAATAAATAATGCAACCGTTCAGTGAGTCCTTTAGACTTACTGGCATAAAAGGATTTCGTTTATAAATGTAAATTGAAAAGGTTGTGTAGGTGAAAGTTGAAGAAAAAATTCGTCAGCTGACATTGAAAAGTTTTTGTTTTTATTAATTTCGAAATTTATAATATAAATAAGAATTTAAGTGTATAAATTCAAAAGTTCTTATCTCGAAAAATTCATTGCATATTTATTAAGAATTAATTTTAAATTAACTACATTTTAAGCATCACTTCTAATAATATATGATTATATTTTTATAAATCACAGGAGAGGGGATGCTTTTGAGCTTTAATATAAAAACGTTTAAGTACATCGTATAATATAGATATGAATTTTATGTTTCTTATATTAAATGAATAAGATAAAATTTAAAAAATACTTTAACTTATAATTTTGTTTTTTTACGGGATAATTAGTCATTATTTGACCAATTAGCTAATAAAAAAATAAAATTATTATAATTATTTTTAATAATAATTTTTTTTATTGGCCGACTGCAATTCGGAAAACATCGATAAATGCTTCAATTATCAAAGTTATAAATTAAACCGAATTCACTGGAACTCGGCATTATCATATGCAATCGTTACAAAGTGACTGTATCAGTTTAATTAATAAAAGCCATTCTGAGAAGCCGGAAACCACTTACACCACTACTTATAAAAACAACTGAAAAGTGTATCAAATGGTGTTGGATGATCGGTAAAAAGCTTTAAAGATATTGCGCTCCTTTGCGTTTATAACATGTGATCTCACCACCAAAAAAGTTAAAGAAAAGAAACTGAGAGGAAATTTTGAATAATTGTGCATCTTTGTGTAATATCGCAAAAAATATTATTGTGGTGAACAATCAAACCAAAATCAAAGAAGATAAAGAAAAGAAACTGAGAGTTACTCGATAAATTGTGTGTAAAATTTTCTGAATTTTACAAATAATAATCAAAATTTTATGTAATGAGGTAAAAATATCACACAGTACAAAAACAAAAAGGCTAATGCTACACAATGGTGCTTGATCACTTTCCTCACCCGGTTTACTAGTTAGCCCATCGGTCTCTACTAACTACTAAGTGCTCTTAGTAATGGAACACTTTCCGAAAAATTCATTATCTATTAAAAAATGCATTAAAGAATTGCGATTTACAATGTGTGAATACAACTTTTTACCGTTTTGCAATTGCATTATGTCTTGTCTTCATTATGTCTGTAATAATAACATAAAATATAATTTTATGAATCCTAACTCATTCTAACTCTAACTGAAAACAGAATTCTAACTCACTTTATTAAAATAAATAGTATATAAAAATATTTTCACTTATAATTATAAAACTTTCTTTGATTTTTAAAATTTCGCGCTCTTATTTTTCAACTTCTATTTCTTTTTCTTTTCTTCAAGAAACAGCAGAGTTTACACAAAGCTGTTCCATGAAAATCTGTGTAAAGAGCGTAAACTGGTATTTTATTTGTGTTGCACTTTCAGGTTGTACTTTACTTGTATTTTACTTGAGTTTACTTGAATTTTACTACGAGTAGCTCGTGGAACAACAGACCTATAATGAAATTTGTAAGCATATTCAATTATTCAATCAATATTTGCAAGTAGCATTTGATCTTTTAGACTGTTATTTGTTTTTTTTAGGGTTCACACTCAAATAAAAAGTTATAAATATTAATATTTTTTCTAAAAAAAATATTTATTTGTTAAAATTTTAATTTATTACGAATCATATTTCATACAATTCCATTAGAAATAAAAATAAAGTTAATATTTTTTCTAAAAAAATATTTATTTGTTAAAATTTTAATATTTTACGAATCACATTTCATACAATTCCATTAGAAATAAAAATAAAATTGATTAAAAGAGTGATTGATGTCTTTTATAAAGCAAATCCTTACCACATACTCACATACATCCAGTCATTATTTGTTATTAAAACAACTATTGATTCTGTTTACAAAACAAAGTCTTAATCAACTCACACCTACATCCGGTCTTATGAAATAAAACACAAATTGATTTTAAATTTTACTTACATTTTGATGATTAAAACTGCAATCAATGCTCATTAAAAGGCAAAGCCTTAATCAACTCTCACCTACATCCGGTCTTATAAAATAAAATACAAATTGATTTTAAATTTCACCTCCTTTTGATGTATTCAAAATTTAATTTGCCGGAAATGTTGGCACTTCTGCACAACACATTGGGAATGCCATTTGTTATTGCTGATTTTATGGGGTTTTAATTTTATTTTCAGGCCGCTTTTTATAGCGTACTTTACGGCTTTTATGGCACACAACTGAAAATTATACCAGATTTATTGCACACCAATTGCAACATAAATACGTTTTTATGCAACAATTCGGTTTTACTCGCTCACAATTTGTGTGGTCTAAACAATTCCATATCATGCGCAAGAAATCTCAAAAAATTCCTCAAGTGTTTCCTCGTAAGGTGGGAACGAGTAATTCCTGATCAAGATAATACTTTATGGCCTAATTTTTTATGAGGTCATAACGTTCATGGCCTACAAAAATACAATTGTTGTCGACTCAGTATAATTTTTATTATAGCATCTCGAAGCATGATTTTACGGAAGAAGAGTGGAAGAGTGGAAGAGTATATAAAAGCAATTGTGCGAGTATATAAATAAGTGCACAAAAGTACTACTTCAGTTCATTATCAAGTTGTAAAAATACGAGTATAGTAAAAATTATGTGCATTTCATTTGCAATCCCCCACTCTCAATGGAAAAGTTCTTCGATTTAATGCAATGCTTGCAATTTTTATGGGATTAATGTTTGATACTTTTCTATATGGTCCTGTGTGGGTCACACACTTGCACATGTACTTCTATGTAATTACACTCCTTATCAAGCTTTGATATTGCTTCTCATCTGCTTAAAATTTAATTGTGTAAGATACTCAGCTTTA